TTCTAATCAGTGATAATTTTAACAACTAAAATTTTTCTGCACTTTACTGCTGAAAAATATTGCTAAAATGAAATATCTGTGCCAATAAATTCTTCCCTATAATTGATCCCTATTTTGGCCCTGCCCTAGTAGGTGGATCTTGTTATGTAATACAGCCTCCCTATAAGTTAAAGGTAAAGGAATAAGATGTGGTCATGATAGAATAAGACAAGTGAAAAAAATTGAACATTTTCTTTTAAAGAATTTTTTTAAAAAAATCAGATTTTTAAAAATTCAGATCCATTTATTTAGTCGTTAAAATTCTCCCTCTTTTAAAAAGCTGTATTTGGTGATATTCAAAATACGTGATAGCTCAAATATTTCATTATGTAATAGAGGTTATAAATTGTAAATCTATATTATGAGATAATGTGCTAATATATTTTCATTTAAATAGCATATGTGAGTTCTTTGACTAACACCTTAATTTTATGAGGTTCCATAGGCTTCATTATAGATTATTTAGGCAAGTCTTTCTACTACTCAGTCTTGTAGATACCAGACAAAATGCAGTGCAAATTTTTTATAACCTTGCTCAGTGCATACTTTCAGGCTGTGGAAATGTCAGGGGAGATTAGGGGTGATGGAGTCATTCTGTGCAACGAGATTGTGAAAAACGTGTGCGCGCGTGTGTGCGCGTGTGTGTGCGTGTGTGTGTGCGTGTGCGCGCGCACGCGCATGCGCACACGCACAAGAATTCTGTTACTTCTGTCTGCCAGCAAAGGTCCATCAGTGTATATATCCCAATGGTAAACTGTTGCTAGTTGAGAAGTCAGGGGTTCTATTTTGTGTTGCTTAGTAGTTGCATGCTTTGTCGTGCAACAGAAAATGCTTAACTACCCTGTTTCCCAGAAAATAAGACATTAATTTTAATTTTTGCTCCAAAAAACACATTAGGGCTTATTTTCAGGGGATGCTTTTTTTATGTACCGTTTAAGTTTATTCAAATATGGTCATGTCATCTTCTTCTGGTTGCTGCACAATGGTGGAGGGCAGGCTTTCACTTAACTGGGGCTTATTTTGGGGGTAGGGCTTATATTACAAGCATCCTAAAAAATCATACTAGGGCTTATTTTCAGGTTAGATCTTATTTTCAAGGAAACAAAGGTAGCATCAATTTACTGCTGAAATGTTTGCCTGTCGACTAACACCAACATAATTATTCAGTTGTTTCCAGCCATTGTACCGTTATAGGAAGCAATTAAGCACTTTCGGGGGGGGGATTGCATGATGAAATAAATACTTTTTGAATAGCGATTTGAATTGTGATTTAAATTTGGTTTAAATCAACTCCAATAATGTAAAAAGAACTGCCTTGTTGGAGGTGTGATTAAGTGTAAAGAGATCCCCTGGATAGTTGAGGGCTTGTGCTTTGTTTAGCATGTGATTTGGAATCCTGGTTTTACTACCTTTGGTTGTCAGAGGGGAGGAAAATTCCTGAAGTGCTCTCAAGGCAGCCATGTCCTGGGATGGACAGGAAATAGGTACAGCTCAACTTCCAGAGATTCCCTGCCCATATAAAACTATAGTGGTTTCAATCAAGGCTGCCATCTACATCAGTATCCTTGGGGTTCTTTAGTTTTGTAAACATGTTGTAATGCACAAATCTGTACCAATATAATTTTCTAAGTTTCTTTTCTTTCTGTATTCGAGTAAGTCACTGTAATAGAACTAAACTCTACTCCATGATACATGTTATTCAGTTCTAATTTTAGAGATGGTGCTTGGAGAACTTGTAGTCTATGAAAATCCTTTTTTCTTTCTTTTTTTTTTTTCATTTTATAAGAGAAATGGAACTGAACAATAAAACACGATTTTCAAAACATTTCTCACTGGATTGAATAGCACAGTGCCACTTCTGCCTTCCTGGATTTTTATGTCCCTACAGTCTGTCAAGTGTGTGATTTCAGGTTGAGAATCCTCCATAGATGTACTGTTATTTACAAAAGTAGTAATAATGAAGTATAGATGAAAAATGTAACAAAATGGTAAGTTATCCTGGAAGGTAGCAAGCCAACTGATAAGATTAGATCTCTTATCCCATAGCTGTAAAGCATGGGGCAAGAGACAGGTTTAGATACCTGAATTGGTGCAGTTTTTATGTTTGCAGAGAAGGGAAATCTCCATTTTGTCATTTTCCAGGTGAGCTTTGCTGAAGGTCATGTGATACTTGCATGACTCAAGCCATGAAGAGATTAGTTTCGTCTACCTTGTACTTCAAATCCATCTTTATTCTTTTTTGTGTAGGTAGCATCAGGTTGTATGATTATTTCATATACTTGTCCCTCGGCCAGTTGGGATGAAGGGGGAGGCATTGTTTGCATGCCCTTCTAGTCCGAGTCACATGTCCATTCAATGCATGCCATTTTACTGAGCTATTTTCAGTAAGTCTGTTTTCAGTGACAAAGAAAAACAGTCAATACCTTCCCCAGCACTACAGAAATAGTATTTTTTTCATGTGCTGACAAGTCAATTCTGACTTACAGCAACCCTTCCCCAGGGTTTTCCTGGTAGAAAGTAGTGTTCAGAAGTGGTTTAGCACTCCCTTCTTCTGGGACTGTGCAGTTTGCCCAAGGCCATGTAGGATGGCTCCATTCACCAGAGGCAGAGAGGGGAATCAAACTCCCATACCTAAACCGCTGATCTGTTCAGCCAGCCATAGCTAACATCAGACCTGCAAACTGGAATATTATTAAGGAAAGTTAAGCATGAGTGTGATTTGATTTTTAAAGCTATAATGTTATACCTCTCTGTTTGGCTAATTCTGAGAATGTGCTAGCCTCTTCTGAAAAAAGGAAAGAACTGTGTTGTATACTTGTATCCTAGCAAAATAAATTATTGTTGATGTTGGTAGCCACTTGATCCTCAGCCACAAGCAAATGAGGTCTATAGAACTGCATTTATTTACATTCACTCCTTGCAATCCTTGACTTCATTTCTCTCTTGTTTTCCTGTATAACGGTAAGCTCTCTCTCTCGCGTGCGCTCTCTCTCTCTGTGTGTTTGATTAAAATCAAATTGATTTAAATCACAACTTAAATCACAATTTAAATTTTAAAAATTGCTTTAACAATGTAAATTTTTTAAATTGTAAATTTTTAAAAAATTATGATTTAAACCAATTTGATTGCCACAGCCGAAGATATCCCAGGCAGTCCCTAGCCAGGGGCAAGGGCACCAGGACCCAGTCCACCATGCACGGTATCAAGTCCCAAGGTACTCACTGCACAGTTGGTTGTGACCAAGCAAAGGAGGGAGCACAAGCCTGAGAGCAAGATGCAGGAGACAAGCAGAGGCAAGAGCAGGGGCCAAGGCAGGAACAGGAGCAAATGCAGGAATACTGGAACACAGAGACTCTGGCACTCAGGAGCAGTGATGCAGTCAGCGCAGCCAAATACCTTTCTTGCTGAAGCAAGTGCTGGGAGGGAGAACTACTCCTTAAATAGGTCGTCCCCCCAGGTTTCCAGGTGAGCCTCATGAGTGGCCCAGCAGCTGCTACACAGGCCAGGGCTTGAGCCTGCAAACACCAGGCCATTCCTGGGTCAGGCTGGCCCTGACCCTAGGGCTGCCAAGGCAGTATGGGCCAGATCCTGATATTGATTTTTATTCAACCTGGCAGAAATCTTGACTGTTTTGCAGGGCATATTGAGCAGCACGCCTTCTTCTGCCCTGAAAGGTGACATTTTATTGTCAAATCATACTGAATGTAACCTCTTTCTGATAATGATGGTGTATCAAAGCTGTTTTAAGTAGCAATTGCAATAGGTTTTCTCTGCTTGTTGTTGAGTGGTAGTAAAAACCTCAGTGGAAGTCTGTACAACTTCTTAATTTCCTAGCAATGTTTGTTTTTCATTGTTCTCCAGAATGCAGCAGCCAGACTGGTGGTTGGTTCAAGTAAATTTGATCACATCACTCCAGTGGAGCTCACCTCCACTGGTTGCCCATGGCGTCATGTTCAAGGTTTTGACACTCACATACAAAGCCATAGTGTGGACCCATTTTACTTGTTGGAGCATCTCTCCTTAATATCGTTTGCCCAACCCACAAGGTCATTCAAGTCAAGGCTCCTCCGGGTGGCCACCCCGAGGGAGGCTCATAAATATAAAAAGGTAGGGCCTTCTTTGTGATGAGTCCAACCTTATGGAATCAGCTTCTGGAGGAGCTCTGCCTAGCCCCCTCCCTGTGGACTTTTAAGAATCAAGTACAGTGGTGCCCCGCATAGCGACGATAATCCGTTCTGGAAAAATCGTTGCTATCCGGATTCGTCGCTATGCGAAAAGAAAAAGCCCATAGGAATGCATTAAACCCCGTTTAATGCGTTCCTATGGGATTAAAACTCACCATTCTGTGAAAATCCTCCATCCGGCCGCCATTTTTGCTGCCCGGTATGCGAGGAATGGGCGCGAAAACACTGCGGGCGGCCATTTTGGAACCTCCGATCACCTGTTTTTAAAACATCACTATGTGAAAATCGGTAAGCAAAACAGCTTACTGATCATCGCAAAGCGATTTTTTGCCATTAAAAATATTGCAATGCGATCGCTTTTGCGATCACAAAAAACAAATCGCTATGTGGATTCTTTGTTAAACGGGGCGCTTGTTAAGCGAGGCACCACTGTAAAGATATTACTTTTCAGGGAGGCTTTCCACACCAACCTCAACTGACCACTTTCCTTCCCCCCTTTTCCCCTCTCTTCCCTCCTCCTCATCCCTCCACTCTTTTCCTTCATTTGCTCTTAGATTAGTTGGTGCCATCTCTTTTTAAAGGGTTTTTGTTATGAGTTTTAATATTTCTATTTTCATTTGTGGTTTCTGTTTTATGAGATTATAACCCTCCTAGAGTAGTGCTACGACACTAATGGGAGCAGGATACAAAATTAATGAATGAATGAACTCTCATCCTTTTGTTACTATGGTGAGCAATCTTTGCAGTAATTTTGCTGCATTATTGTTTTTTCCTAGGTCTTCTCAGTGGACAGACATCCCCCACCAACATTAAACTGGAGAAGCTAGACTCTCAACAAGTTCTGCAGCTTTGCCTCCGGTACCAAGAACATCTTCACCAGTGTTCAGAAGCTGTTGCCTTTGACCAGAATGCACTAGTCAAACGGATCAAAGAGGTACAGAGTATGTTGCAATTAAAGCAGGAAAGAGGCCAACTGAAGTGTCAATAATATCTCTAGTCAACTTGAGGTGGGGTGTAATAGCTGTTGTGATGGTACCTGGTCTAGGCCCCCTTCTATAGCACTCCACCAACTACTCTTGTTTTTTCCTGAGGTGGTTGAGCCCAAGAAAGGGTCAGTGATGGATGATGACTGTGGAGCCTGACAGAGACTGTGTTACTTCCAGAACCTCCAGATTACTCTGTTCTGGCAGTGTCTGCAATGAGTTAAAAACATATATAGCACCTCACTGTAAAGCCCATGTGCCTTTGGCTCACTTCCCAGTTTAAAGCTGAATATGCTACTGTCTCTATTTTTTTGATTCTCTAAAAGAAATATCATATTGAACATGAATATGCTAATGTTGTTGGCTTGTTGCTTAATCAGCTCTTGCTTTTCATATGGAGTGCCCTTGATTCTTAGCATCACTTAAAGCTTCCATATGGCTGGCTGAAGAATAAATATGATTCACAGTATTTGTTGAGTGACTGCAGCCGTTTATGATATTCTGAAACTTAATGAGATGAGAACCGTTTTTTTAAGTACAGTGCTTTAAAATAACAAATGCCCTTGAAGCCAGCTAATTATACAATCTGCAACTGTATCTGCACAGTGCAATGATTAAGGTTACTTACATCCAACAGTGTCTTTAACTGCCAAACCTATTAAGACAGTCTTAAATCAAATAAAGCCTGGCAATCACTTTCTCTCTGATGGCACTCGCTCTTGGCTGTAGCTGGCATGGGACATGAGTAGGGCAAGATGCAACCATCTCTTCATTCTCTCTATGAAGGAAAGGCTGAAGTTTCCTCCGGGACAAATGGTTCAGGGTGTGTGGCTGCTTAGCTTGTTCAGAGCACAAGGCTAATCTGTGGACTGCAAAAGGGAGCTTTAGGTGTAAGTGTTTGAAGAGGATGTCTAAACTTTAGGCAGGTACAGCTGTACAGGTGCTGCTGTATGTTTGATACCTTGTTAGATTTCCAGGATCAATCCTAAACAGCAGTGAGTAAAACCCATCAGTTTATATTCCTTGGAGAACAAGAAACTCCTCACTCTGGTCTCCCCCTGGCATGCACACATGCACATGCACGGAGGCATGCACACACACATGGAGGCATGCACACACAGTTGGAGACCCACTTTAACAAGGTGAGTGTATCAGGGAAGCTGAGGGCAATATTATCAGGGAGTTGAACTCCATTATGAGTCCGGACTCCTAATGTATCCATTAGGTAGAAGCAGTATCCAAGGCAGAATGATCAAAGCTGAGACATCAAACTAAGATGCAACCATTCACTTCAAGAACTAATGGGCATAACAGCCAATGAGTGATGAGAAATTCTACTGGGTAGGAACAACAGCCTTTGGTCCCTTGTTGGGAGAAATGTGACAAATAAATAAACAGTGGAAGGTGACTCTGATGAAGAGTTCATACCCAGTGGCAGTGACACTCAAGCTGACTGATTAGTATTGAGAAGGAGGCGGTAAGAGTAAACTATCTAAATGTTTTATACCTCAAAAACCCAATGATAAGACAATCCAGAATGAAACAAGAGACAGTGCTGGAAAATGAGACTGCCAAGTGAAAGGTATTTAGCTACTGGATGAGTATGGGTACTGCTATTCTTAATTAAGGAACTAGATCAAATCTGAAAGGACATTCAGCTGCATGATGCATATAATAGGAACTCTGAATTTAGAAGCACTAATCAAGATAATGCTTGAAATTCTTAAAAAAGTGTAATATATAACCATCAGAATACTTGATATGAAGGAACTTAAGTCAATTGGAATAAAACATTTGCAGTCAAATAATGGCAATATTTTACTCAACCCAAAAGAAACTGTAAGGCTTAAATACTGAAGCAAGCAGTAATGATAAGTAGAGATGGGAGGTCTGACTGAACATTTTAAATCAGACTTAATTCAAATCTTTGCTCCAGCTGCAGATACTGGAGGAGAAGAAATTGAAGCTTTTGTGCAAATATCCATCAGGAAATTGATCACACAACAAAATAGCGTATATTAATAATCATGAGTAACTGGAATGCAAAAATAGGAAATAAAACAACCAAATATCCTTGCAGAGTTATGTGTGAGAGAGAATAAGCAGGAAAGTGCTTCTTTGAATTCTGTGAAGTCAACAATCTGTTTATTGCAGGTACATGTTTCAAGCAATCAAACGTAGCACCGTATAACGCATGGACAGCACCAGATTGGAAGCAGAAAGTGAAGAAACATTATTCTCTGCCAAAAAAAAAAAGACTAGCAATCTACTGTGAATAAAGACCACAAACTGTTACTATTTAATAATTAAAGCTGAGGAACAGTAAAGCAATAATGTGAATGACATTCCTGAAGGGAGAAATGTAGAAGGACCCTTACTGTACCTAAAAGAAAACAAAAGCCTCAGTGGATGACAGACGAAACTCTTAAAATTAGTAACAAAGACAAGAAACAGAGGTAAAAGGTGACAGAAATAGAGTCAGAATTCTTAGTGCACCTTTCCAGTAAATGGCATGTAGGGACAATCAGTACTGTTTTAATAAACAGCGGAAAGAAAAGAGGACAACCAAACGGGAAGACAAAATCTCTTCTATAAAATCCAAGAAATTAAAGGGAAATTTAAACCAAGATTAGCTATGCTGAAAGATTAGTGGGGGGATACTTTATCTGAACAGGAGAAAATACACAGGACAGGAATAATATATTGGGGTGGAGTTTTGTCATTGTGTTGTTCAGCTGCACCCAGAGAGTTCTCTCTGGGGAAATGCTGGAAACCGATCAGTCAGGACACCTTTAGGAACAGCAAAGGTGATTGAAGAGCTGGGAGAAGTTCTTCTACGCCGTGTGTGGGCAGCGGAGGAAGGAATGAGAGGCGGCGGCTTATCATTTCACCCTCTGAAGAGATTCACGAGGCACCGACTGACCGGAACGCCATATTTTTTGTCTTGGTGATGAGCAGTGAGTACTCCGTTACAGAGGGGAATAGATTATTTGCAGTTAAAAATGGACAATAAATAACAAGACTGGAAGCCTTGAAGCTAATGAGCTTGGGAGGAGATAAGACCGAAAAGAAGTTTAGGAAGCGGCGTGCCTTTCCCTTTCTGACCGGCCCTACCTTAATGAGCTAATGGCAAAGCGAAACTAAAAAACAGTGAGGCCGGTCTGGGTCAGAAAAATAATAACTGTGCCTGGAAACTGTTTGATGTTAAATAACTAGGAATAATATATTGAAGAACTATAGAAAAGAGTTGTGAGAACATCAGAATGAGAACTGTGCAATTTTAGATGATGAAGCTGCTCTTAAACCAACTATAAGAAATAAATCATCAATAGACCAAATACTAATAAAGCTATTCCAATCTGCAGAGAATGAGTCCATCAGCATTCTAACAAAAGTGTGCCAACAAATATCAAAAGTGAAACTGGCTCAGAAACTGGAAGCATTCAATATAAATTCCAGTCTCAAAGAAAAAGCCAAAGATTGCAGTAAGATTAGAATCATTGTATTTATTTTCTTTGAAAGCAAAATGATGTTCAGGGTTTTACAAGAAATACTTTTACCATATATAAAGCCAGAAATATAGGTGGTGAAGCTAGATTCAGAAAAGAGGCAGGAGAAGTCATATAGCAAATATACATTGGCTAGTGGAGCGGATCAAAGATTCTTCATCGTAGTCTTCTGTGAATGCACACAAAAGGGTTAACCCAGTGCCAGCGTTGGTCCTCTCGAAAAATTCTCAAGCTTTAAGAGAAAAGTAACAAGTTTAAGGCTGCCTATACTGTGCATGCTCCGCCCACCCACGCCTCAGTTCCATTTTTCTGCCTAGCGATTTGGAACCTCTCGCTTTGAGCTCTGTTTTTTCAATCTGTTTTCCATGGATTTTTCATGTTTTTTCAACCAGACTGTACTGACTACGAGAACTGCTATATCCCTGGACGTGGACCTCGTTTTTCACAGACTCTGCTTTAGTGTTTCCCTTCGAACTTGGCTGCCCCGGACTTCCTGCCTTTTCCCCCCTTGCCTCACAATGGCTCGCTATAGACCTTCTTAGCTTTATGTCCCCTTCAGGGCCTTTCAGCCGTTGTGTGCTTTGTGATCGGAAGATACCCCACGAGGACGGGCATGATCGTTGCCTTTTTTGCCTGGGAGAAGCCCATTTATTAAAGGCAAAATCCTGTACACACTGTAAGGCTTTTACTAAGGCGGCTTTGAAAGCCAGGCAACAGCGTCTGAAATACCATCTGTGGGAATCCACACTGTTTTCCACCAAGCCCTCAGACATGGAGCTTGCCTCACCATCAGCTACTCCTCGTTCCGAGTCCACATCTTCCCCTCAACCGTCTACTTCTAAGACAGGCAAAACTGCGAAAAAGTCTGCTCCCTCTAAAAAACTTGGCAAGACTTCGGATACCGCTTCAGTTCCAGCTCCCAAACCTGTAAAGCAAGCAAAAACTAAAGCTGCAATTAAAGCGAAGGAGCCTTCCATCCAGCTTCCTCCGATATCCGAGTCATTACCATCACCGATTTTTGGAGGAGTCTTTGAGAGATTGTGAGTTTTTGTTGGAGGCAGCACAATCTCTGCCTCCTCGACAAGCTGAGCCAGTTATTCCGCAGGGTGTCTCTTCTTCGATGCCGAGTCAGCTTCCGGGAGTCACTGCAGGTCTGACTTCTGCCCCACAAAGCCCAATTTCTCATGGGCGGGGGTCTTTGGCTCTTTCAATCTCTTCAACGCCTTCGAGGTTGAGGTCCCCTCGTAAGAAGCGCTTATCAAAAAGGAAGCATAGTTCTTCCCATCAATGCTGATCGAAACATCGATGTCAAGACCGTTCCTCCACTTCAGATGACTCAGGAAGGCTTCGATCAAGGAAACACCACCGACGTTGACGACATTCGAGCTCCTCTGATTCCTCTTCGACCTCGACTGATCGACGTCGAAAGCATAGGACAGTCA